ATTATTCATGCTTTTCATATGGACCAAGTGGTTGAGGAAGTGTCTTGTTATTACTTGTTCTGCCATCTTCAGTTGATTTAGGTGGCTTAGTATGTGCTGCCACCTATTAGAAAAACTTAAAAACAGATTTGGGTAAAGTGCATGCTGTCGCCATTATAATGAGAAAAACTTGTAAAACTTGACGTGTTGCAATATGAAGAAGTGAAAATGACAAAAAATAGTTATTTCATAGTTCTTGAAATAATTTTAGGATTCTTTTTATACAGATGTCATTGTAAGTGTGCTATGAAAAAAAGAGAACTGTCATTTTGTTTTGAATTCTTAACTTTCAACTTTTTTAGCCCAAAAAAGTTCATGTCACAACTAAAATAAAATTGACAATATTCAGTCTATCTTTCCCCCCTTTTTCTAGAGATTCTCCCATCTTGTTTTCAACTTAGAAAATATACCAACGTTCATAGATAAATGTTAAATCAAGGAACGCTAATACCACCCCCACCCCTCTCAGTAGCTTATGAAAGAAGTTGTTTTACTGATCTTACGTTTATGTAAGACAAGGATGTATGTGGCGAGGGAGAGATGACGTGGTAGAAGATGTCAAATCTTTATTCCATGCTTGCAAGGGCACTTTTTAATAAATGCTGGAGAACTGTTGCTGCGTTGTTTCATTATTTATTCCATTTGAAAACATTTATTCTGTTTGAAAACAACTTTGTGTGAAAAGCATTGTGTTTACATGCTTCCCCTAGTGTTTATTCCACTTGGATGATATGACTCTGGTTTTCTCTGTTGGATAAAAAGTCGTTTTAACAGTGTGCTGTACACATTTTTGTTTTGCACCATTTTGAGAAAATGTGACAGCTTAATATGTCGGGGGGGGGGGTTTGCTGATGCGAAGCCTGCTGAAGAGCCCCAAAAAATTGAAACGGTGCCATTTGGTATGGTTTATAACCGATTCAGCTAGTCAAAATTCCAATTTCAAGAGGTGACCATTGGTGTGATTTTTTTTTTTCATAAAACTTGGGACTTTTTTCTTCGTCTGCATCCCAAACTTCCTTTTCAAATAAAGATAAACTTGAAAGATTGAACATAGATGTATATAATGACAAAGATTTGTAACTCAGAAATTTAAAACTTTTATTGCACCTGAAAAGTTTTACGTGTTGAGATTTTATAACATCTCCGAGAGGAAATATACAGAGAGCAAGAATATTTCTCTACCTTAATATTAAAACATAGCAACACTGCTAATGAAATTTTATGATCTGATGAGGTATGATAAAGATGTCAGTATCTTGGACTGACCCCCCCTCCCCCCCCCCCCAAAAAAAAAAAAAATAATAATAAAATAAAGGATGTCAAGCATTTAACAATAATTAATTTTCTTTGCACAACCAATATTAGAACACTGAGGAGGAAGATTATGGGAGAGTGGGCAGATCTGGGAATAACCATGTACAACATGTACTATATTTTCCCATAAAATAAGCAATTCTTTGACTGCGTTCCCATAACCTTATCGTACTAGCAGGATGAATCTTTCTCAGAAGGGAATTCTTGCTATGGCAGGCCTACCCAACTACCAGACTCGGCATCGAATGATCCTGAATTCACCGGTAAATCAGACCACACTACCCGTTTTCAAGGTGTGTATCAGTATGCATTTCACAGTATCAGACACGACACCGCTCTTGCCTAGTACGCGATGTGATAGTGATGATTCTCAGCAGGGTTGAAAAGCATTGCATCACCACTCAAAATTTGTTCAAGGTATGATACTGTGTAATGCGTACTGACTCACACCTTGAAAACGGGTAGTGTGGTCTGATCTACCGGTGAATTCGGGATCATTCGGTGCCGAGTCTGGTAGTTGGGTAGGCCTGTATGGGGAAGTCAATAAAATCAGCTTAACTGCCTGGCACGCCCCATCGCTAAGCAATATGAACAGCATCATGGACCACAGAGTTTTCCCAACTTAACTTCAGTACTTTAAGTTACAAGGGGGCATGCCAGACATATAGGTAACTTAAACTGAATGCAATTTAGTGAGAATCCCCGGGTAGTTTGATCAATCCAGCTAGTATGACAGGATTATGAGAATGGTCCCTTTCACTTCAAGCAGTGGGATAAGCTGCACAATCTAGAACAAGCACCAATGACAAGGGGGTTATAATTTTGCCTTTGTTGGTAACTCAAAAATTTATAAACAGATTTTGTTAAAATTTTCAGGATATGCCAGAAATGGGCAAACATGGAACTGATTATAAATTGGAGATGATATAACATTACAATTAAATTATTAGTAATGAAACTTGAGCTGCATTAGCAGAGCGGGTGTGGTCTCTGACTATTTGTAGTTACCTATATGGTCCTAAATAGAGGTTAAAAGGAACTAGTAATAATAGAATGAAGAAATGTATGAAACCTATAACACTGCCTTTAGCAAGGTGAAGTATGAAAATGAAGATGTAGAGCATAGCAAGATATATTCAATACAAAAAACACTGAAAATAAAAGAAAAATAAGTATAATAAAAGAAATACACAGCAACATAAATACATTCAATGGTAAAAAAGGCTACATAACAAAACTTTAAACTGAAATCCCACATGCAATATCACAGAATCAAACTAATATGACAAAATAATAACCTTAACACATAAGATATACTAAGAATAAACCCCTCTTAATGTTGTGCTTAAGTTAAAGAAAACCGCCCTTTAAATGCATGTTAAAATGCAAAAAAATAATAAGAATAATAAAAATATTATAATAATAATAACNATGTCAAGCATTTAACAATAATTAATTTTCTTTACACAACCAATATTAGAACACTGAGGAGGAAGATTATGGGAGAGTGGGCAGATCTGGGAATAACCATGTACAACATGTACTATATTTTCCCATAAAATAAGCAATTCTTTGACTGCGTTCCCATAACCTTATCTTACTAGCAGGATGGATCTTTCTCAGAAGGGAATTCTTGCTATGGCAGGCCTACCCAACTACCAGACTCGGCACCGAATGATCCTGAATTCACCGGTAAATCGGACCACACTACCCGTTTTCAAGGTGTGTATCAGTACGCATTTCACAGTATCAGACACGACACCGCTCTTGCCTAGTACGCGATGTGATAGTGACGATTCTCAGCGGGGTTGAAAAGCATTGCATCACCACTCAAAATTTGTTCAAGGTATGATACTGTGTAATGCGTACTGACTCACACCTTGAAAACGGGTAGTGTGGTCTGATCTAGCAGTGAATTCGGGATCATTTGGTGCCGAGTCTGGTAGTTGGGTAGGCCTGTATGGGGAAGTCAATAAAATCAGCTTAACTGCCTGGCACGCCCCATCGCTAAGCAATATGAACAGCATCATGGACCACAGAGTTTTCCCAACTTTACTTCAGTACTTTAAGTTACAAGGGGGCATGCCAGACATATAGGTAACTTAAACTGAATGCAATTTAGTGAGAATCCCCGGGTAGTTAGATCAATCCAGCTAGTATGACAGGATTATGAGAATGGTCCCTTTCACTTCAAGCAGTGGGATAAGCTGCACAATCTAGAACAAGCACCAATGACAAGGGGGTTATAATTTTGCCTTTGTTGGTAACTCAAAAATTTATGAACAGATTTTGTTAAAATTTTCAGGATATGCCAAAAATGGGCAAACATGGAACTGATTATAAATTGGAGATGATATAACATTACAATTAAATTATTAGTAATGAAACTTGAGCTGCATTAGCAGAGCGGGTGTGGTCTCTGACTATTTGTAGTTACCTATATGGTCCTACATAGAGGTTAAAAGGAACTAGTAATAATAGAATGAAGAAATGTATGAAACCTATAACACTGCCTTTAGCAAGGTGAAGTATGAAAATGAAGATGTAGAGCATAGCAAGATATATTCAATACAAAAAACACTGAAAATAAAAGAAAAATAAGTATAATAAAAGAAATACACAGCAACATAAATACATTCAATGGTAAAAAAGGCTACATAACAAAACTTTAAACTGAAATCCCACATGCAATATCACAGAATCAAACTAATATGACAAAATAATCACCTTAACACATAAGATATACTAAGAATAAACCCCTCTTAATGTTGTGCTTAAGTTAAAGAAAACCGCCCTTTAAATGCATGTTAAAATGAAAAAAAAAATTAATAATAATAAAAATATAATAATAATAATAATAATAATAGAAACTTGGATCAAATAACAGTTGACTCAAAAAGTATTTTCAAGAATAAATGGACAGATTGAGCATATAACCTGGGGCAAGCCTGCCATTCAGTGAAAAGGGCGAAAAAAAAAATATGGCGTGGGGTCCAGGGGGCTACTCAGGCCAATGATATTTTTGACTCCCCTTGGAAATCTGCCAATAGTGGAAAAATCTCATTCTTATTTAATCCTCTATGCTGTCTTGCTGCTGAATTGAGGATTCTGGTAAAAGTATACATGGCTTGCTGGAATTGGAAGAGATTGGTCTCTCCATAAAGACCAACCTGTAATTTAGTTATCTTACTTCTACACCATATTCAAACCAGAGTGGAAACACATATGCCATATCTTCCCATATTTAAACCATTACTAGAGAAAACAATTCTGGACATCATAAGCTTGAAACTCTTTTCACAGACCTAGAGTCTGGCCTCTCTTGAACAGTGAACATATCAACACCTGGAAAGTGATGAAAAATGGCAGATGTGACCAAAAGTTTTTCCTTGTTGGATCTCCAAGCCCACGGTAATTTTCAACAATAATCCAAGGGAAATCTTAAAACAGTGCCAAGTAAAATGACAGTTTCCATGGCAACTCAGGGCAAAAAATGCTTCTGCTTCAAGACAACTCCATGATCAGGCTCGTCTTGGGGGATCTTGAAACAGTCCATGGGGAACTGCAGTGTCCACACTGACAGGAGATTAAGGTTAAACTGGACACAGCCAGTGAACGTGGTCTTGTGGTCATCGTGTTTGTTGACTGTTAAGGTAGAGTTGTAGAACTCCATACAGAACTCGGCAGCCTTGTACACTGTACTCATGCAGACTTCAGGAGGGTCGTGAGCTGGAAGGACATAATTAGACATTGTGCTACATTATACTCTGGTCTGTGTCCTACCCATAAAAAGTGGCAACACTCTGGGTCTGGTTTCAGTATTAAACCTTTAACAGAATCTTGGTCTTCACTTCATCTATCTGAACGACTGATAATTTTTGTGCATTGAAAAGATGGTGTCATTACTTTTTAGCAAAGCATGGTTTCAAAACTAAGTCAGTGGTCTCACTTAATATGTGATCTCTAATTTGAAATATGTCAAAGAAAGAATGACTTTTATATATATTTCACTATTACTGTTATTTTTATCATCAGAGCAGGCTTACCAGATATCAAAGATCCCGTCTTTACAGCTTTGTCCATCAATAATGTCAGGTTCAGCTGCTGTAAAAGGAAATTTTAACTTAAGTCAACACTTTTTATCATCTGTCATATAAGGTTCAATAACATTACTGATATTAATCAGATTAAGTATAGATCATTACAAAATATGTAATCTATACAATTACAAGTCAGCAGGGTGTATGCGACATAAACAATGTACAGTGTGGTCCATAAAAAACAACCTATTTTAAATCGAGTTGGAAAGTAAAACAGGTAATTTTTATGGACCACCCTTTAATTGGGGGGGGGGGGGGTCACCTTATGTCTTATTATAATTCTAAGAATCCTGTAATTCCGCAGGGGAAACTCAATAAAAAGGCATGGGAATGATACAGATGGACTTTCAGTTAGCTCTAAAACTTAGGGTGTAAATACCCAACATGAGGCTTGCTATTTAAACACTTACTGGCACTCGAAGTCTTGATACATATGTAAAATTTACACATGCTGATACATCCAGACGCAGCTTGGGCACTTCAATACCCCTACAACACTGACAGTTTACATGGACACATTTACAACTGTTTGTCTTTGGAGGCATTGATACTACATATTGGTTGTATGTGTGATTTAATGCATCTGTCCTCTGAATAGTGACAATGTTGTCTTTATTCATCATGGAGATGCCGCTTATGAACTGCTTGGCTGTTGATTCTGAGATGTCTATTTGTAGCCTCCCTGTTGCGTTGATCTTTTTCTTTACATGTTCTATAGCTGGGATAACTCCATACTGATTTAATTTTTCATATGTTTTATTAGCGACTGCCTCTTTTACAAGGTTCACGTGGTCCTTTATTTGCTGAGCCTTGTCCTGGAGTTTTTCATATTTTTCCTGGAAGACATTGGAATAGTTTTTGCCAAAGCTTATCTGTAATGCTTTCTCAGCCAGCTCCTTATGTGCTTGTACATTTTTATTTATTTTGTCTTTCGCGGCCATGGTTTTATTTTTGAGGCCCTCGTACTTCTGATGCGCAAATGACTTGAAATTGTTGACATTGTTCTCATAACTCCGCCTAACATCTGTAATAGAAAAAATATTAAGTAATTATTATTATTATTACACAGACTACACACCCCCTTATTTGATCCAACTTAAAAAATGGCATAGAACCTAGGCCAAGTTTTCATTCACATAGAATCACAGCAGATATTTTCTGCCAAGACGGGTGCACGGTTTCTTTTAACCTCAAGTACCCCCCACCAAACAAACAAATAAGTAAATGAATAAGTACACACAAATGCCTACAGGCCTGATAATTATTAGAACCACTAAGCTTATAAAGATAAACTTATTTAGTAATTTTTGCATTTATTTATGTGAAAACAATCGGTATCACCAAATAATAAACAATTTCTTAAATCCATTCGAACGTAGCTGTTTGGGGTCCGGCTGTTTGTCAATGAAAAGAGAGAGAGAGAGAGAGAAGGGTGACAAATGCACTCACCAGCAGGGGTTGGTATTGATACATATAAGAATAAAACGTAGCACAAACATAAAACTAAACACGCTAAAACTATAGTTCGTGTCCTTTTACTCAAGCCAAAAGTCGGGGCTCTCAGAAGCCTCGCCATCTTGGCTGTTGCTATAATAAGAGCAAAAGTGGGAACGTTATCTGCCACCGCAATACGGAATGAAACTTTTTTTTTTTTACAGAGGACCGTATATTTTCAAAACCCTTTATGTTTCAACAGCTAATACGTGATGAACGATATTGTGTTCAGATATTATTAACAAATATTAAGATAGGTTAAAATCAATATTATAACCAATGTATAAGCAGGGCATAGGCCTACAGTACATTTGGCGGTTACGTTAAAGTAAGGACTCGTTGGACCATATAACAGTGATGTAGGCCGGTAGCAGGGGGAGGAGGAAGGGGGGGGGGGGATACTGTTCTTAGGTGGAAAATAATTTGAACTAGGTTTACCAAGTCAATAAATAAGAGGATAAAAAAACTTTTCCTTTTTAGAGAAAGACACCCCATGAAATTGCTGTACAGGCCTGATAGTTCATATTCTCAGTATTACGTAATCAGTTTTCCTTTCATATGAAATTATGAAATTAGATAATCATTTTGTGTAGATTTTCACCACAATAAAGTCACAAAAGATCACAAGCATCCAGATTAACAAGATTGATTTTCCATTAGAGACATTGACAAAATGCTGATCGATTGTCGATTAATCGTTCGAATATCTAAACCGATATTTCAGTCCTATTCAGCGCAACCACTGCAGTATATAACAATCGTTCCCTTGAACAAAATTATCGACAAACATAGGATTTATTGTTCTTGNGATTAGACTCTGGTCTGTATTGCAAGTGTTGCCATCTATGGTGGAATAAACAGTGTCCTACCCATAAAAAGCACATTTTACTAAGTGGCAACACTCTGGGTCTGGCTTCAGTATTAAACTTTTGACACTCAGACACAATCTTGGTCTTAGATTCATGTATCTGAATGACTGATAATTTCCGCACATTGAAAAGATGGTGTCATTACTGTTTAGCAAATCATGGTTGCAAAACTAAGTCAGTGCTCTCACTTATGTGATCTCTAATTTGAAATCAATATCAAAGAAAGAATGACTCTTATATATATATATATATATCACTTTTACTGTTATTATTATCATCACAGCAGGCTTACCAGATATCAGAGATCCCGTCTTTACAGCTTTGTCCATCAATAATGTCAGGTTCAGCTGCTGTAAGATGAAAAGTTAACTCAAGTCAATACTTTTTATCATTAGTAATATAAGGTTCAATAACATTACTGAAATAAATTAGATTAAGTACAGATCATTACAAAATATTTAATCTATACAATTACAAGTCAGCAAGGTGTATGCGACATAAAAAATGTACAGGGTGGTCCATAAAAAACAACCTATTTTAAATTGAGTTGGAAAGTAAAACCGGTAATTTTTATGGACCACCCTTTAATTGGGGGGGGGTCACCTTATGTCTTATTATAATTCTAAGAATCCTGTAATTCCACAGAGGAAACTCAATAAAAAGGCATGCGGATGATACAGATGGACTTTCAGTTAGCTCTAAAACTTAGGGTGTAAATGCACAACATGAGGCTTGCTATTTAAACACTTACCGGCACTCGGAGTCTTGATACATATGTAAAATTTACACATGCTGATACATCCAGACGCAGCTTGGGCACTTCAATACCCCTACAACACTGACAGTTAACATGGACACATTTACAACTATCTGTCTTTGGAGGCATTGATACTACATATTGATTGTATGTGTGATTCAATGCATCTGTCCTCTGAACAGTGACAATGTTGTCTTTATTCATCATGGAGATGCCGCTAATGAACTGCTTGGCTGTTGATTCTGAGATGTTTATTTGTAGCCTCCCTGTTGCATTTATCTTTTTCTTTACATGTTCTATAGCTGGGATTACTCCATACTGATTTAATTTTTCATATGTTTTATTAGCGACTGCCTCTTTGACAAGGTTAATGTGGTCCTTTATTTGCTGAGCCTTGTCCTGGAGTTTTTCATATTTTTCCTGGAAGACATTGGAATAGTTTTTACCAAAGCTTATCTTTAACGCTTTCTCAGCCAGCTCCTTATGTGCTTGTACATTTTTATTTATTTTGTCTTTCGCGGCCATGGTTTTATTTTTGAGGCCCTCATACTTCTGATGCGCAAATGACTTGAAATTGTTGACGTTGTTCTCATAACTCTGCCTCACATCTGTAATAAAAAAATTATTCATTATTCATTATTATTACACAGACCTACACACCCCCTTACTTGATCCAACTTAAAAAATGGCATAGAACCTAAGCCAAGTTTTGATTCACATATAATCACAGCAGACATTTTCTGCCAAAAAAGGTGCACGGTTTCTTTGAACCTCAAGTATCCCCCCCCCACCACCACCACCACCACCACCACCAAACAAACAAATAAGTACACGCAAATGCTTACAGGCCTGATAATTATTAGGATCACTAAGCTTATAAAGATAAACTTATTTAGTAATTTTTGCATTTATTTATGTGAATACAATCGGTATCACCAAATAATAAACAACTCAAATACATTCGAACGTAGCTGTTTGTCAATGTAAAGAGAGAGAGAGAGAGAGAGAGAGAGAGAGAGAGAAGGGTGGCAAATGCACTCACCAGCAGGGGTTGGTATTGATACATATAAGAATAAAACGTAGCACAAACATAAAACTAAACACGCTAAAACTATAGTTCGTGTCCTTTTACTCAAGCCAAACGTCGGGGCTCTTAGCAGCCTCGCCATCTTGGCTGTTGCTATAATAAGAGCAAAAGTGGGAAGTTATCCGCCACCGCAATACGGAATGAAACTTTTTTTACAGAGGACCGTTTATTTTAAAAACCCTTTATGTTTCAACAGCTAATGCGCGGTGAATGACAATGTGTTCAGATATTATTCACAAATATTAAGATAGGTTAAAATAAGGTTTATAACCAGTTTATAACCCCTACATGTTGCGGACTCGCTGGACCAAATAACATTGATGTGGGCCGTAAGGCAGGGAGGGGCGGGGGGGGGGGGGGGTGCAGCACCCTCCTTGGTTGGAAAATAATTTGATCTAGGTTTTGTGTCATTTACCAATAAGAGGATAAAAAAGTTCCCTTTTTAGAGAAAGACACCCCATGAAATTGCTGTCTACAGACCTGTTTCAACTTCACATTCTCAGTGTTACGTAATCAGTATTCCTTTCATATGAAATTATGAAATTAGATAATCATTTTGTGTAGATTTTCACCACAATAAAGTCACAAAAGATCACAAGCATCCAGATTAACAAGATTGATTTTTCATTAGAGACACTGACAAAATGCTGATCGATTGTCGATTGTCGTTCTAAACTGATATTCCAGTCCTATTCAGCGCAACCACTGCAGTATATAACAATCGTTCCCTTAAACAAATTTATCGATAAACATTGGATTTATTGTTCTTATGTGTTGCAAGACACTACTGTCAAGGAGACAGAGTCACGTGGTTAAAATAAGTCAATCAGAAGCTCCGATCACCTTTCATTGATTGATCACCTCGCCCTTGACGATGGCCAGTATAAATACGACCACGTACCACGCGCCTGTCATTCAGAAACTCACTCGACTCGTTGCGGTCCATTGGTGAGAGCTTTGAAGTAATTTTCAACTAATTTTTATCACTGTTTTTGTGAACCAGACATCTTAACTAGTCAACATGGTGAGTGTTGAATATTATGCTATTATTGTGTTATAGTGTTATTATTTTAGTGCGCTATTCTAGTTATCATCACTATTTTTTAATTACACATATACATTAACTGCTTAATCCTTATAATTTGGAATCATAACATTTAAAACGATATATATAGGCTCATTTTATACGAAGTAAGTGAATTACATGGAGCAGTACTTTATCCTTAACTTATTTGATACTCTCGGTTCCAAATTTTATTTATTTATTTTTTAATTCTTAGATAAAATTATATAGGAAATCTACAGCCGGATGTGAAAAAATTCACTCTAATCAAGGTTTATTTTATTTTTCCAGCGTGAATGTATCAGTATCCACGTCGGACAGGCCGGAGTCCAGATTGGAAACGCCTGCTGGGAGTTGTACTGCCTTGAGCATGGTATCCAGCCTGATGGCCAGATGCCCAGTGACAAGACCATCGGTGGTGGTGACGATTCCTTCAACACCTTCTTCAGTGAGACCGGTGCTGGCAAACACGTGCCCCGTGCCGTTTTCGTCGATCTGGAGCCAACTGTTGTCGGTGAGTATTTTTTCATTCTTAATTCCATTAAGATATCACGTTAAAACGCTTCGAGAGTGGAGGCAGTTTGTTTTAACAAATTATACAACGGTTGCTATGCTAATACGTAATATATGAACTTAGTCTGTCGCTACTGGGGACCTTGATCGATATTAATGTTCTCTTTGGAGTAGCTGAATATCGACTGCCATACTTGTGGCATACTGGAGCACCTGTTGACTGTTAACATATCGACCGGCTGACGAGTTGATAAAACTGACTCCTTTCTTATCATTTGGGGTGTCAAAATAACAAGTACGTCTCAATGTGAGGACTATTAGGTACCAGTCAGTTTTTCTAAAGGGAACGTAAAATTCAGATTTCAAGAATGATTAATTTTTTGAAATAGTCTTTCCTTTTGCAATTTTTTGAAAAAATTTATATGGGAATTCGCAATTGCCCTAAAATTAATAAATGAATTTACTTTCTCCTTATAGTCTTTTGAATGATATTTTTTCAAGTGAAATTATAGGAGTTTTTAATTTTTCTCTGCAGATGAGGTCCGCACTGGCACCTACCGTCAACTTTTCCACCCTGAGCAGCTGATCACTGGAAAGGAAGATGCCGCCAACAACTACGCCCGTGGTCACTACACCATTGGTAAGGAGATCATCGACCTTGTCCTGGACAGAATCCGTAAGTTGGCTGATCAGTGCACAGGTCTGCAGGGTTTCCTGATCTTCCATAGCTTTGGTGGTGGCACCGGCTCTGGCTTCACCTCCCTGCTCATGGAGCGTCTCAGCGTCGACTATGGCAAGAAGTCCAAGCTTGAGTTCTCCATCTACCCCGCTCCCCAGGTGTCCACTGCTGTTGTTGAGCCCTACAACTCCATCTTGACCACCCATACCACCCTTGAGCATTCCGACTGTGCTTTCATGGTAGATAATGAGGCCATCTACGATATCTGCCGTCGTAATTTGGACATCGAGCGTCCAACCTACACCAACTTGAACCGTCTGATCGGCCAGATCGTCAGCTCCATCACCGCTTCCCTGCGTTTCGATGGTGCCCTGAACGTCGACTTGACCGAGTTCCAGACCAACTTGGTGCCCTACCCACGTATCCATTTCCCTCTGGCCACCTACGCCCCTGTCATCTCTGCCGAGAAGGCCTACCACGAGCAGTTGTCCGTGGCTGAGATCACCAACGCTTGCTTCGAGCCAGCCAACCAGATGGTGAAATGCGACCCCCGTCACGGCAAGTACATGGCCTGCTGCATGTTGTACCGTGGAGATGTCGTGCCAAAGGACGTGAACGCTGCCATCGCCACCATCAAGACCAAGCGTACCATCCAGTTTGTGGACTGGTGCCCAACTGGTTTCAAGGTCGGCATCAACTACCAGCCACCCACTGTCGTCCCCGGCGGTGACTTGGCCAAGGTGCAGCGTGCCGTGTGCATGTTGAGCAACACCACCGCCATCGCCGAGGCCTGGGCTCGTCTTGACCACAAGTTCGACTTGATGTACGCCAAGCGTGCTTTCGTCCACTGGTATGTCGGTGAGGGTATGGAGGAAGGTGAATTCTCTGAGGCTCGTGAGGATTTGGCCGCTCTGGAGAAGGATTACGAAGAGGTCGGCGTCGACTCCGTTGAGGGAGAGGGCGAAGAGGAAGGCGAGGAGTATTAAACACGGTGATGATCTCAACTACACATCACTAATATGTTACATTTGAACTCTATTTTCATTTGTGCCAAAAGAAAAAAAATGAACTAAGATATTTTGTGGAAAGAACAATGTGCATTATTCCCAAAGAGTTGTCTTCCTCTTTTAATTGAGAACTCAAAACAGTTCTTATACCATCAGGGTGTTGACATACTCAAAATAATGTAATATATGAAACTTATTTTTGAGCCGAATAAAGACGTGAAATATATTTATATGCTGGTATTTTTTTTAGTATACTTGTGTTGACAATCATTTAACATGCATGCTTTTTAAGAAATGAGAAATTTTAGATATAAAACCGCGTGGTTCCTTATTCTAATATTTTACGCACATAAGCGACATGCTGTCATAAATGGAATGCTTCTCACTCACAATTGAAATAATTTAATGGCTTTTATGTAAGAACGCAAATTAACACGTTACTTTCTGTGCTTTCCGTCTCATGAATACAGAAAACTCCTCGTTCAATTTTATGGAGTTTTAACAAACTTAAACTAATAAGTTGAGTTACAAAAGCACTCAGAGAACGCAGACCTTCGCCAAACATCCTGCAGTGATAAATTGTGGTAGTTGAAAGCTCATCCGTCGTACAGGGTCAAGGTCATTAGCAATTTCTAGCAATGGTGAAGGAACCTTTTTAATTTTGTTGATTCAGATGGTGATCCGGATCACGGATCAGCACCAAAATCTAATCAGTTTTGAGAAAGCCCATTTCTGACCTATCCTGAAAATTTTATCAAAATCCTTCCACAACAGTTTGAGTTAGGGTTGTGACGAATGGGCAGACAAACCGACGGATGTGAAACATAACCTCCGTGGAGGAGGTATAGTATACTATAAACTAAAATTATGGGAGTAGAGGCGGGGACCGGGCTTCATCTCTGTTTCTGAATCTGTTTCTGGAACCAGACGTAGTTACCCTAGGTTCTAGATTTCAGTATTGTCAGTTCGATCTTGATTTCATATAGGCTATAACCCATATCAGCACTGTAAAGCTATATCACATGTAAAGGTGTAGTGAGCAAGCCAGCTTCACAGTGCCCTGACACTCAGGGTATACGTGGTATACCTTGCATGAAAAGGAGAACCGTCAGGATGTCTGTGTCTTTTGTTCTCGTAATATATATCAAGTAAAACAGCAGAGGCGCCTTAAATTTGCTTCGAAGACGTATATACACTTGTAGGTTGATTCAAGTTTTTTTTTTTTTGCTTTGCATGACCCGAGAGTAAATTGTTGATGCCGTATTCTCAACAGTTCCTACATAAATTCAGTTAAGTTTGCTCGTCGATCACAATAAGGGGAGTGCAAGTATGAACTAGATCACATACAAACGGCATCCGTTATCAGAACGGTCGCGCCATTCGCTGAAGCCCAGGGATGGCAGAAAGGCCTACAACATCATTTTTTTATCGGTGATCAACTTCACGTTTACACAGACAAAATACCGTGCCTTCGTTTTAGCCCTGTCAACAGATACATTATACAGGCAAATATTATCAGAGATATAATCTCAGTTACCTGGCCTACTATCATGGGAAAAGAGCCATGCCCCCCCTCAGAGAGAGAGAGAGAGAGAGAGAGAGAGATTTTATACGATTCATATATCTAGACCTGCTATAATGTCACAAATGGAAGACAAAATGTCCAAACAGGCCTACGTACACGTGTATTCAATAATATGAAAATTGTTGTATGGTGGTTAAAAGATAGGCCTACACATACATGGGGTATCTAAAATATGACAAGAAAAAAATTGGTTACTGTAAACAGATACGTGTACCAGGAAGGCATACCAACTGACTCATTGACCTGCAGATCAAATAGACAGAATACAAATAAAAATTATTAATAATAATAAAACTATTAATATGAGAAAACAAAGAAAAACAAAAAATGAAGAAAAAGAATATAAGACCATATAAAATATGATAAGATAAAACGTCTGATAGGGGCCACGGTAGTTTCGACAACTAAAATACCCGCTGCGCTCTCACATATAGATTCCTGACATATAGATTTTATCACGTTGCACACAGCCTGAGTTATTTCCCTTCAGAGAAGTGACAGACTGATTAGTATTATAAACCATCTATTTCTAACCCAGCAAGCAATTTGCGGATATCGACTTTTTTTTACCAAGATCTTGTCTCATATAATTAAGGACACACTGATATAATCAGTTCGTGCACGAGATCACAGCCGATGCATAGCCAAAGAGATACAGAGGGCAGCAGCCATCGGTACAAATAATAATAATAATAATAATAATAATAATAATTTATTCAACTTATACGTAGAATAAATACATTAGAAATGGATTTAGGACGCGAGCTCTAAAAATAATCGGTGGAGAATATATTTACTTCATTACGCAGGATGACGAACGACATATGACATTAAATTACGCTTTCAATATCACGCACAGGTTTATGCAGTAGACGAGGTTGCAGGAGAGAGAGAATATATAACTGACACCCTGGGTTCAGGGAAATCTATGATCAATAGATCAGGCATTCAGGCAACAGAAAAAAACCAGCAGAGAGTGTGTGTTCTGTAGACAAAATTCCCACGCCTGCTCTGACTATCCTTTGGTTCTCAGGGTGATTCGCGAGTTCACGCCAACACAGACAGCAGTGAATACATTAGGCTGGCTGCTGTATTCTCTGTACGCAATGCAGTGTAATATGACTGCCACTTCCCGTTGCGCCCCTTGCATACCAAACAAATTTCATACAGATGTCGATCCCCTTTCAAAAACCTTTTAGAGTATCATTTTGATATAAAATTCGACTCATTTTTGAAAAATATCAAAAAAGATCAATATATCGGTACATGTAAATGGTTTATTTCATTAGCAGAGGACATGGCAGTTAAATAAGCTTTATGGAGGGCAGTTATAAGCTAATGTTGATTAGCAGTGTATGAGCTTAGCATTATGTAATGAAAATTTCGATATAAAATCAGCCATTTTGCTGCAGCTTTCCGTCTCACAGAAATCACGAAAGCATATACCGGCAGCCGGATTGACAAAATTGATCTTTCTTTTGCAACATTGACAAAATGCTCATTGTTCTCGGCTTATTATAATGGCTCATATTTCCGTCCAGTTCAATGCAAATACTGCATTAACGATCCTTTTCTCGAACAAATCAAGTGCTAAATATTTGGATTAATTTATTTGCGTTGGGAGACCAAGTGTCAGGGAGATAGAGCCACGTGACTAAAATAAGCCAATCAGATGCGCAGATTTCCAGGTTATTGAATATTCTCTTCGTCCCAGACGACGACGTCTATAAGTAAGACCACGTTTGTCCCGCCTATCATTTAGTAACTCACTCGACTCTTTACGGTCCAGCGGTGAGAGCTTTGAAGTCATTTTCAACGAATTTTATCACGTTTTTGGTGAACCAGACACCTTAACTAGTCAACATGGTGAGTGTTGGGTTTTTGTTTGAGCTTTTAGTGATTTCTTTTTAAAATCAGATTAATCATCTTTGTGAGTTAAAATTTGAGATTATCTTAATGAGATTGCAGCTTAATCAATATCACCTCCTTTTCCTTTCGATTGAAATTTAAACGTGTAATCGCCTTGCTTTATATGAAGTAAGTCAACTTCTTTGAATAGTGAATTCGCCACCAGGCAGTTTACTTTGACGGAGGTTCCAGACTGAAACTATTATGAGGGACCCAGTATAATCCACCTGATGTGAAAAGAATTTTATCTAATCAGTTCTTATTTTAATTTTTTCCAGCGTGAATGTATCAGTATCCACGTCGGACAGGCCGGAGTCCAGATTGGAAACGCCTGCTGGGAGTTGTACTGTCTTGAGCACGGTATCCAGCCTGATGGCCAGATGCCCAGTGACAAGACCATCGGTGGTGGTGACGATTCCTTCAACACCTTCTTCAGTGAGACCGGTGCTGGCAAGCACGTGCCCCGTGCCGTTTTCGTCGATCTGGAGCCAACTGTTGTCGGTGAGTATTTTTTTCATGCTTAATTCCATTAAGATATCACGTTAAATGATTCGAGAATGGAGGTAGTTTGTTTTTACAATTATGCATGGTTACTATGTTAATGCATAATATATACACACAACCCGTCACTATGAGAGCTCGATCAATACGAAGTATGATTCAGCTTCTTTGAGGTTGTTTTATTATCGACTACCCTAGCTTACTAGGACATCTGTTGTCGTCTGCTGCAGCATATCGACCGACTGACGAGTAAATTGAACAGACTTTCATTCTTGTCATTTGGGATGTTTAATGTAGCGTAAGCGATGACTCATGTGGAAGCTATCAATTCCACATTCGCAAAGGAAAAGGAAAATTACGAATAGGAAAAGAATTTTATTTGTACTCTTCTCTCATATGATTTCAGATTGCGTCTTACAAAATAATCCCCCTTTTTTAGATTTGCAATGGATATATAAATGAAATATCAATAAATAATAAATAAATGAACAAAAAATTGAGTAAATTATGGGATTTCACGTCATTTATTTATAGTATTGATAACAAGGAAAACAAATTAATATTTGCTAAACAAAATGATATTAATGTGGTTTCTTATTCTTTTTTCAGATGAGGTCCGCACTGGCACCTACCGACAACTTTTCCACCCTGAGCAGCTGATCACTGGAAAGGAAGATGCCGCCAACAACTACGCCCGCGGTCACTACACCATTGGGAAAGAAATCGTCGACCTTGTCTTGGACAGAATCCGTAAGCTGGCTGATCAGTGCACAGGTCTGCAGGGTTTCCTGATCTTCCACAGCTTCGGTGGTGGCACCGGCTCAGGTTTCACCTCCCTGCTCATGGAGCGTCTCAGCGTCGACTACGGCAAGAAGTCCAAGCTTGAGTTCTCCATCTACCCCGCTCCCCAGGTGTCCACTGCTGTTGTTGAGCCCTACAACTCCATCTTGACCACCCATACCACCCTTGAGCATTCCGACTGTGCTTTCATGGTAGATAATGAGGCCATCTACGATATCTGCCGTCGTAACTTGGACATTGAGCGCCCAACCTACACCAACTTGAACCGTCTGATCGGCCAGATCGTCAGCTCCATCACCGCTTCCCTTCGTTTCGATGGTGCCCTGAACGTCGACTTGACCGAGTTCCAGACCAACTTGGTGCCCTACCCACGTATCCATTTCCCTCTGGCCACCTACGCCCCTGTCATCTCTGCCGAGAAGGCCTATCACGAGCAGCTGTCCGTGGCTGAGATCACCAACGCTTGCTTCGAGCCAGCCAACCAGATGGTGAAATGCGATCCCCGTCACGGCAAGTACATGGCCTGCTGCATGTTGTACCGTGGAGATGTCGTGCCAAAAGACGTGAACGCTGCCATCGCCACCATCAAGACCAAGCGTACCATCCAGTTTGTGGACTGGTGCCCAACTGGTTTCAAGGTCGGCATCAACTACCAGCCACCCACTGTCGTCCCCGGCGGTGACTTGGCCAAGGTGCAGCGTGCCGTGTGCATGTTGAGCAACACCACCGCCATCGCCGAGGCCTGGGCTCGTCTTGACCACAAGTTCGACTTGATGTACGCCAAGCGTGCTTTCGTCCACTGGTATGTCGGTGAGGGTATGGAGGAAGGTGAATTTTCTGAGGCTCGTGAAGATTTGGCCGCCCTGGAGAAGGATTACGAAGAGGTCGGCGTCGACTCCGTTGAGGGAGAGGGCGAAGAGGAAGGCGAGGAGTATTAAATCTACGTCCAACCTTTCGAACTGCATTCCACCGAAATGTTACATTTGAACTTTTTCATTTGTGAAGATAAGTCAGACTTTTCTTGTCAAAAGAGCATTGTGCATTACTTTCATGAAGTTCTCTTTCTGTTTTTTTAATTTGAGAAACGAAATTTCATCAGGGTATTCAAAAAACAAAATCATAATCAAAAGAAAAAGATCAAATTTATTTTTTGGAGCTGAATAAAGAATCTTAACCTATGCTGGTGTTTTGTTTGTACACTTTGTTGGCAATCATTAAGACTAGAAGTAATTAGTTTTTCAGAATATTGGATATGCTTTTGGTACACTGAGTGTCAGGGCACAGTAAAAGCTAGCTCGTTAAAAATCTTGTGATGGGATCGTTTTTACTAGTATTTCTTTTACTCGTATTGCTGATATGGGTTATATACATGTATGAAATCAAGATCGAGCTGGCAATACGGAAAACTAGAACCTAGGGTAGCTTTGGGGGGGGGGGGGGGAAGGGACGGGGTGTAGGGAGGTTGGTGGTGGTAGTGGTGGTGGTGGTGGTGGTAGTGGTGGTGGCGGGGTGCTTTCCCTCTCTTACCAAATATCTGCTGGATATTATGCAGCTTAGGAATTCATCATTTACCTGCCCTCAGGCTTTCTCTAACTTTGCCACCTCGCTTGATAGGCTAGAAATCTTTTGTTGCCGCTTTTTAATTATCCAGGGATAGAAAAAAAGTAAAATGCGACAATCAAATATAAATATATATCTTTCCTGTTTACATCGCACTTTTAAACTCATTTAAAACCAACTCTTCCCATTTGAAAATTATTCGTAATAGAAAGGTGAACATGATTCTCTATTTCAGAGACTACAGTAGATGCTATTGCTCACTTAAACCTAAGATCTAATAAACTAATATATTAGGTCTTAGCTTAAACTTAACATAAAACTGCTTAAGATAAAGTTATAATTGCTTTTTCATGTACAAGCACTAAGCGGGAGTAGGCCTACCAGTATCTGTGCCCTAGTTGGCATGTTTGTAGTATAATACAGCAACGATGCTTTCTTCAATTTAAAAACTTCCATTTTATTCAGCTACATTAGGACGCATTAAGGTAGGTAGATTTAACCTGAATGAATAGTAATATCTTAAATGTACGTTATAAATGAGACGTAAGCTTCAAGCAATATTTTGATAAGTTTGGAAGTCCCGCAGTGTCTGGAGGAATAATTTGCTTTATTCCTATCAAAACTTTCTGTCAAGTACGTGCAATGTGGGCTGCACTATGGTGTCATATGACTACATTTTGCCTGGTTGTGGAGTTCAATAAAGAAGATCTTGGGTTATATAAGGATATTAAATAACCATACAGCACTTACGTTTTTATTGCATTATTTTGAAGGTAGATATAAGACAAAGAATGAACTGATTTGATTTTTAGTGTAGCAAGGGGTTGGTTGATTCTGATTTCTTTAAACATTGTCATTTATGATGTCTCCTCCTCTACCATTTGGTAAAGTTTAGAACTATAATTCAGCTAAACTACGCAAAATTCTTATTTCAAGAGGGGATTATATGGGTGGTGTTTTGCAGAAATGGAAGGGGGGGCAGGACCCCCCTTACATCCCCTAAATCCGCCACTGATATAAATAATTCGTAAGTCTTTGCTCAATAAGTGCAATTTCATTCAATTTTCTATTCATAGCCTTAAAAGAAACGACTGTACACAGAGGCAAGACCGCATAGAAGAAAAATATTGATACATGTACATCTTCGGATTACGCTGCCAACCGCTTCTTATTTGCACAGCAAACGAATTTCTGATTTCTCTCTTTTGAAGAAAATTTAATTAAGAATTAAAATGTTAAAGATGGAGATGGCAAAACTTTTAATTGTTTTCGCTTCGTTGACTATAGTGGGAATGCCGACAAGAAAATATTCATTCGTCCACTTTTATGTCGGTGAGGGTATGGAGGAAGTTGAAGTCTCTGAGGCTCGTGAGGATTTGGCCGCTCTTGAGAAGGATTACGAAGAGGTTGGCGTCGAATTCGCGGAGGGAGAGCAAGAGGGAAATGATGATTCAAAGGGAGAGAATTAAACTGATAAATGATCCCATCGCCCAGCGTCCTGAACAGCATATATTCCACAGTGATTTTCATATTAACTTTTAATGTGACGATTAGTAAGACATTTCTTGACAAAGAGAAGAAATATGCACAATTTTTATGGCGTTTTTGAGAAACAGTCAAAATTTCATCAGGGCAATGAAACTCCAAAGAAAATAAATGTATTTTTGGGAACTGAATAAAGAATTAAAAAGTGTGCTGGTTTTTTGTTTGTACACTGTGATGGCAATCTTATGAATAACAGACAAACTGATCCGCCGGCTACATATTCACGCCTCAGAGTGGTTACAGTAACAACCATGCCGCTAGCTGATAGAGCTGAGAGGATTCATAGCTTTGTAATACTCAGGCAGGTGGAGATACATTAGTTAAAAAATCCTTGATATCCTCCTGCCCTCTCCCGCAAAGGGGTCGACGCTGAGGTCCTCGTAACCCTTCCCCAGCGCGGTCCATTCCTCACGAGCCTCAGAGAATTCACCTTCTTCCATATCCTCAGCGACATACCAGTGGTAGAAAGGACATTTCCTTGTTGATATATATAATTCACAAGTCTTTGTCCAGTAAGAGCAGTTACATTCAATTTTCGTCTTCTTACTTGAAATAGCCTTGAAAGAAACGACTTTACATAGAGGCAAGACCGCATGGAAGAAAAAACATTGATACACCTCACGACTTCGCTGTCATTTAATTCAGAGCTAACATGTTTAAGATGGAGATGACGAAATGTCTGATTGTTTTTGCCTCGGTGACTCTAGTGGGAATGTCGACAAGGGAATGTGCTTTTGTTCACTCGCATGATGACGAGGGTATGGAGGAACGTGATAACTATGAGTATCGTGAGGACTTGGGCTTTCTGGAGAAGGATTACCTGCCTGTCCTCGAGAGAACGGGTGAAGAGGAACTGGAGGAGCAATGGATGGATATATGATCCCAACGCCCATTGTCCTGGACAGCGTGTATTCCACCGAAATGTTACACATTGACTTTTTTGTGGGGAAAAGTCAGACATTTTTTTGTCAAAAAATCATTGTGCATATGATCTATTAAGGGGTCAAAATTTCAACAGGGTACAGAAAAATAAAGATAAAAATAAAATAACACTATACTAATTTTCTTGCGAGAGTTAAGCTAGTAACAATGCAATAATCAAATAAAATAGATAAATTCTTTTCTGTCTCGCATCACGCATATTTATCGTTATTGGGATATCAATAACATAGAAAATCTGACATAAAAATTGTCTTCTTTTACTTTAATTTGCTTCGCATATATTCAAGGAATTATTACACTTTATTAAATTATAAGATAAAGAAAATTTCAGCTACCTTTGACGCTCCGTATTGTTACGTAATGTCGCAACAAGCCGTGTACCCGTGACGACTTAACTTCGGATTGTTGTTGTTCTAATTTGCATCACAAACCGGGTAAAAGTATCCTTTGAATAATCACATCATAAAACAAATATCAGCTTTCGGTCAATATGTTTTTTTTTTTTGCTGACTTCAGATAATTGATATCGACCTCGCCTAAGTCGATATCACTTTTCTGAGGTCAACGAAACTACATATTGTCAATAATTGTATAATATTTAATAATAATAATAATAATAATAATAATAATAATATAATAATTAGGACGCAAAAAGGTGAGTAGATTTTACTTGTCTGAATAGAAATGTCTTGTTGGTGACATCGTCCTTAACGTACATGTACATTATAAATGAAATGTGAACTGAAAGCATTATTTTTGCACGTTTGGAAATCCCGCACTGCCAGGAAGATAGACTTGATTATAAAAAGGACGTCGAATGATTATAGGTATGGTATACAATAATGCGGCTTTTACGTTTTTATGTGTACAGGGCTGCTACTTAATATGGAATATTTTTTAACATTGTTATTTTTGGGTGCTGATTAATTTTTTTTTGGCTTTAGTCATTAAAAAAGTATGTCACTGAGTGACAAAACATCCAGTCTTCTGTTGTGAGATATTTTGGTCAATGATATCAAATCTGACATAAGATGTCATTCAAAAGAAAGGAACACCACCAGAAAACCATATCAACAGTTTGATGTCAGCATTAACTTTAAGCTAAGATATTAAAGAAAATGATAGCCTACGGACAGTGATATGTTACACAGTCAAAGAACTCACTACAGTAAATCATGAAAAGTCAGTAATCGCGGGTATGACCTCCAGCAGCCGCTTGCAGCGCCCTCATCCTACATGGCATACCCTGTGACACGTTTTTTAGAGTTTGGATGGGGATATCATTCCACTCAGTCATATTTGCCTGTCGCAGTTCATTATGATGGCGCCGATCAATGGCGACAGGCTTTGTAGAGCGTCCACATTTTTACTCTTTTATCTAGTTTTTATGTTGAGGTAATTTTAATTTTAATTTTTTATATTTCAATGGCGCTACTACAGGGCAAAAGATTCCCGATTTTATACATTTGTATTTTATTGGCTTAATAAATCATTATTACTAGTTACCGGCCGATGACCATAGCTATTAATTCTGTGAGTTACTTTTGCCCAAAGTTTTTCAATTTCAATGAGGTTCATATCTGGAGAGTTTGCAGGCCAGGGCAGTTTCTGAACCCATTGGTTTTGAAGAAAAACAGTAATTCTGCGGCCTCGATGTGGGGTTGCCCAGTCGTCTTGGTACACAAAGTTGTTCCTGAAGATGACTCTTACCAATCGAAGCATTGTTTGCTGTAGAATGCCTTTGTAGGAATCCTGGATGAGGTTGCCTCCTAGAAAAAACAACTGGTTCTGGGCACCGACATGAAATGCTCCCCAAACTGAGACGTTACCATCCCCTGCTTGCACCCTAGGCAGTACACAATCATCGTTTTATGACCCTTGTACACGTCGGTGGACACGGATTCGACCATCAACCCTAAAAAATCCATATCTGGCCTCATCACTGAAAAGGACGTGTTGCCAGTGTTTTGGCTGCAAAAGCAGTGGTCCCCAGCCCATTGCAGACGTCGCTGTACATGATCTACTGTTAACAGTAGTTTCCCTACTGGCGTTCGCGCAAAATAACTGGCATGCAGTAATCACTTGTTCACGAGGGACCTTGAAACGGGCGTTTTCTGCCTCTCTTTTCTGA